GGTGGGGTGGGGGAGGGTGGGAACGATATAGAAATGAGAATGGGGGTGGACAAGCGATCCACCACAGGCGGGCGGTGGCCACCCTGGGGTCCCCGCCTGGCACTGGGGCCCGGTCTCCCGCTTGCACCCCACGGACCAATCCAACCGCTGGTCACAGCCCACGCTGGCCCAGGTAGGCCTGGAAGGGAGGCCTCATTTCACAACAATAAAAGTAATGAGGCCACTGGGGCATTCTGCATGCTCTAATTTTTTTTTTCTTATTAAAAAAGACATAATATCAAAATATAAACGCCATCAACTCATAAAAAAAGTTCAATATACACTAATCTAAACAGATCACATAAACCATAATAATTTTTAAAAAAAAAAATCCCTAAAAAAAAATTGAATTACAAAAATTCAAAAATAATTCACACACAAAACTTTCAAACAAACAGTTGAATTAAATTGAGAGAGTTTCAAAAAAATTAAAAAGAAAGGTCGGGCGCGGCTGGCCTCCACGCCCTGTAATATCCTAGAACTTTGGAGCGAGAGGGGCGGGCGGATGCTCGAGGGGTCAGGAGTGTCGAAACCGCCCTGAAAAGCAAAGAGCCAGACCCGTCTCTACTATAAATAACGAACGGCAATTAATGGCCAATAATATATATAGAAAAAAAATAGCAGGGATGGGGCGCATGCCTGAGTCCCCAGCACTCCGGGAGAGGCGAGGCAGGAGGATCGTCTGAGGCCAGGAGTTGGGAGGCTGCCTGTGAGCCTAGGCTGACCGCCACGGCAACTCATCTAGCCTGGGCAACAAAGCGATCACTCCTGTCTCAAAAGAAAAAAAAAAATTAAAAAGAAAAAATTTTTTAAAAATTAAATTAAATTACAAATAAGAGAAAATTAAAAAAGAAATAATTTTGCAAAGTTAAATTAAAACTTTTAAAACTTAAGAAAAAATTTTTAAAGAATTAAATTACAAATTAAAAAAAATTAAGAAAAAATTTTAATTAAAAAAATTTTTTTAATTAAATTAAATTACAAATTTTTAAAAAATTAAGAAAAAAATATAAAAAAATTTTAAAAAGAAAAAATTTCCTAAATATTAAATTACAAATTTTAAAAAATTTAAAAAAGAAAAAGTTTTTTAAAAACTTAAATTACAAATAAAAAATTTTAAAAAGAAAATTAAAAAAAAATTAAATTCCAAATTTAAAAAAAAAACTTAGAAAAAAATTAAAAAATAAATTACAAATTTAAAAAAATAAATAAATAAAATAATGAGGCCAGGCACGGTGGCTCATAACTGTGATCCCAGCACTCTAAGAGGCTGAGGAGGGAGGATCGCTCGAGGCCAGGAGTTGGAGGCCAGCCTGAGCAAGAGCGAGACCCCGTCTCTACTAAAAATAGAAAGAAATTAATCGGACAGCTAACACATATAGAAAAAACGAGCCGGGCGTGGTGGCGCACGCCTGTTGTCCCAGCTACTCGGGAGGGAGGCCGAGGCAGGAGGCTCGCTCGAGGCCAGGAGTCGGAGGCTGCTGTGAGCGAGGCTGACGCCACGGCGCTCACTCCAGCCCGGGCGACAGAGCGAGACTCCGTCTCCAAATAAAAAAGAAACACGCACACTGGAGGGAGCGATGCGCTACAGCCCGGCCAGACCTCCTGGGAACCCGCAGCAGCGGCCTCCAGTGGAGGCTGCAGGTCCTCACGTCCCGACTTCGCTCACCTGTCTCTCCTGTGCCCTCTTCCTCTCCATTTCCTCCTTCCTCTTCCTCTTCAGCTCCTCAAACTGCTCTTGGGTCGGCAGCGACATCAAACCCAGCAGCTTCTCCTGCGGGGAGTCACACACAACCTGACATTGGAACCCTTTTAGTAGAGGCCGGGCGCGGAGGCTCACGCCTGTCTTCGCAGCACTCCGGGAGGCCGAGGCGGGAGGATCGCTCGAGGCCAGGAGGTCGAGGCCAGCCTGAGCGAGAGCGAGACCCCGTCTCTACTAAAAAAATAGAAAGAAATTAATTGGCCAACTAAAAATATATAGAAAAAAACTGAGCCGGGCGTGGTGGCGCATGCCTGTCGTCCCAGCCACTCGGGAGGGAGGCTGAGGCGGGAGGATCGCTGGAGGCGGGGAGTTCGAGACCAGCCTGGACAACATAGCAAGACCCTCCTCTCTTAAAAAAAAACAGGCCCGGGCGCGGTGGCTCACGCCTGACATCCCAGCACTCTGGGAGGCCGAGGCGGGAGGATCGCTCGAGGCCAGGAGGTCGAGGCCAGCCTGAGCAAGAGCGAGACCCCGTCTCTACTAAAAAAATAGAAAGAAATTAATTGGCCAACTAAAAATATATATAGAAAAAACGAGCCGGGCATGGTGGCACATGCCTGTAGTCCCAGCTCCTCGGGAGGGAGGCCGAGGCGGGAGGCTCGCTGGAGGCCAGGAGTTGGAGGCCGCTGTGAGCGAGGCTGAGGCCATGGCACTCACTCCAGCCCAGGCGACAGAGCGAGACTCTGTCTCAAAAAAATAAAATAATAAACGTGCAGAAAACATGACCCGTTGGCCTCAATCTGAGGCCCCGAAGGGCCGGGGAGGCCGACGGCAGCGTCTACACCAGCCCGGGGACCGTCTCTACCTGCACGAAAAGCGTGGCCGAGTGTCGGATCATCCTCTGCAGCCTCAACGTATTCGGGTGGGGCGGAGGCTCCCGGTTCAAGTCCAAGTTCAGGATCTTCTTGCTAGAAGGGGAACGAACACGAGGATGTCGCCCCCATGGCGAGCCACGGAAACTGAGGCTCAAAACATTCTGGAGAGGCCAGGCGGGCGCGGAGGCTCGCGCCTGTGATCCCAGCACTCTGGGAGGAGGCCGAGGCGGGAGGCTCGCTCGAGGTCAGGAGTTCGAAACCAGCCTGAGCAAGAGCGAGACCCCCGTCTCTACTAAAAAAATTACAAAAAAACGAGCTGGACAACTAAAAATATATAGAAAAAAAAAAAAACGAGCCGGGCGCGGAGGCTCACGCCTGTCGTCCCAGCTCCTCGGGAGGGAGGCCGAGGCGGGAGGATCGCTCGAGGTCAGGAGTTCGAAACCAGCCTGAGCAAGAGCGAGACCCCCGTCTCTACTAAAAAAATTACAAAAAAACGAGCTGGACGACTAAAAATATATAGAAAAAAAAAAAAAATGAGCCGGGCGCGGTGGCGCGTGCCTGTAGTCCCAGCTCCTCGGGAGGGAGGCCGAGGCGGGAGGCTCGCTTGAGCCTCGACGCTGGAGGCTGCTGTGATGAATCGAGGCTGACGCCCCTGCCCTCCGGCCAGGGCGACAGAGCGAGACTCTGTGTCGCAAAAAAGTCACGGAGGGGTGTCAAAACTCAAGAGCTGTCGTCCCCCCCTCACCGCCACCATTTTTTAAGGACAGCGGCCTCTACAAGTCTACAGGCGGCCTCTACAGTCTCCCTGGGCGAGGCCAGGCGCCCCCTGGTGGCCTCTACAGTCCCCCCAGCGAGGCCAGGCGCCCCCTGGTGGCCTCTACAGTCCCCCCGGCGAGGCCAGGCGCCCCCTGGTGGCCTTTACCTTAAGGCATCTATGAGCTCGTACATTTTCTGCACTTCCACGCGGAGGTCGTTGGCGAGTTCGAGACTGTAGGTCGTCTCGCCGGCGCTAGGGAGAAATCACACACGTGGGTTTTTTTTTTAATTTTTTATCGGAGTATATGTTTTTAGTCGGCCGATTCATTTCTTTCTATTTTTTTTAAGCAGAGACGGGGTCTCGCTCTTGCTCAGGCTCGTTTCGAACTCCTGGCCTCGAGCGAGCCTCCCTCCTCGGCCTCCCATCGCGCTGGGATGACAGGCGTGAGCCACCGCACCCGGCTAATTTTTTCTCTATATATTTTTAGTCGGCAAATTAATTTCTTTGTATTTTTTTTTTTTTAGTAGAGACGAGGTCTCGCTCTTGCTCAGAGGCTGGTCTTGAACTCCTGGCATTGATCAAGCGAGCCTCCGGCCTCGGCCTCCCAGAGTGCTGGGATGACAGGCGTGAGCCACCATGCCTAATTTTTATTCTATATATTTTTAGTTGGCCAATTAATTTCTGTTTTTAGTAGAAACGGGGTCTGGCTCTTGCTCAGAGGCTGACCTCGAACTCTTGATCTTGAGCGAGCCTCCCGTCTGGGCCTCCCTTTGCGCTAGGATAACAAGCGTGAGACACCACGCCCATCTATTATTTTCTATATATTTTTTTAGTTGGTTAACTAATTTCTATTTTTAGTAGAGATGGGGTCTCGCTCTTGCTCAGGCTCATTTCGAACTCCTGGCCTCAAGTGAGCCTCCAACCTCAGCCTCCCATTTTGCTAGGATCACAAAGGTAGGCCACCATGCCCAGCTAATTTTTTTTTTATTTATATATGTTTTTAGTTGCTAACTAGTTTCTTTCTATTTTTTTAGTAGAGACGGGGTCTCGCTCTTGCTCAGCCTGGTCTCGAACTCCTGACCTCGAGCGATCCTCCTGCCTCGGCCTCCTGTTGCGCTAGGATGACAAGCGTGAGCGACTGCGCCCATCTAATTTTTTCTATATATATTTTTAGTCGGCCAATGAATTTCTTTGTATTTTTTTTAGTAGACACGGGGTCTCGCTCTTGCTCAGAAGCTGGCCTCAAACTCCTGGCCTCAATCAAGCGATCCTCCCTCCTCGGCCTCCCATTGTGCTGGGACTACAGGCATGCGCCACCACGCCCGGCTAATTTTTTTTCTATATATTTTTAGCTCTCCAATTAATTTCTTTCTATTTTTTTAGTAGAGACGGGGTCTCGCTCTTGCTCAGGCTGGCCTCCAACTCCTGGCCTCCACTGAGCGATCCTCCCTCCTGGGCCTCCCAGGGTGCTGGGATGAGAGGCGTGAGCCTCCACGCCCGGCCAGGGTGCTGGTTTCCACCGGAAGACACCACAGGGACAGACTCCTGCCTGGGAGGACGAGGCCAGCCTTCATGGTCGTCACCAAAGCAAATACGTCGGAACTTACTTACGCCGGCCCACCTTCCCTCAGCAATTTCGCTCCATCTAGCGAGATGTGAGAAGTGGTTCACTGAATGAGTTGGTTCCACTACGTTAGAAAACAAACACACTTAGCTTTTCTCACTCAAAGACTACCCAGGGAGGCCGGGCGGGGAGGCTCACGCCTGTCATCCCAGCACTCTTGGAGGCCGAGGCGGGAGGATCGCTCGAGGCCAGGAATTCGAAACCAGCCTGAGCAAGAGCGAGACCCCGTCTCTACTATAAATACAAACAAATTAATTGGCCAACTAATATATATAGAGAAAAAACGAGCCAGGCGTGGAGGCGCATGCCTGGAGTCCCAGCTACTCGGGAGGGAGGCCGAGGCAGGAGGCTCGCTGGAGGCCAGGAGTTGGAGGCTGCTGTGAGCGAGGCTGACGCCACGGCGCTCATTCTAGCCTGGGCGCCAGAGCGAGACTCTGTCTCAAAAAAAAAAAATAAAAAATTAAAATTAAAAAAAAGAGGCCAGGTGCGGAGGCTCACGCCTGTAATCCCAGCACTCTTGGAGGCTGAGGCGGGAGGATCGCTCGAGGTCAGGATTTAGAGACCAGCCTGAGAAACAGCGAGACCCCGTCTCTACTAAAAAAAAAATAGAAAGAAATGAGCTGGCCAACTAAAAATATACAGAAAAAAAAAAAAAATGAGCCGGGCGTGCTGGCGCACGCCTGTCGTCCCAGCTACTGGGGGGGAGGGAGGCCGAGGCAGGAGGCTCGCTCGAGCCTCGAAGCCGGAGGCGGCTGCCTCCTGAGCCAGCCCGGTTGTCCCAGCCACGGCCCTCGCCTCCGACCGACCCCCCGACCCGCGTGACCGACCTCCCCTTCCCCCCACCCCGGAGTGCCAGGACTTGGGGAGGCCCTGGGACCCTGGAGGCCGGGCCTCGCTGTCACCTGGTAGAGGCTAGCGACCTCGGGCGTGCGGTCCCTCTCGTCCAGGCGCTCCTGGTGCCTGAGCAGGGTGTCCTTGCAGTGCCGGCAGGTGCGGATGAGGCCGTCCTCCTCCCTGTCCTCCAGAAGGGAGGCCGAGCTGCCCACGCTGCCCACGCTGCCCCGGCGGGACTGGCCGGGGCTGGCCTCCGCGCCCAGGGCCTCCCGGCTGGCGCTGGTGAGCTTGTCTGCGAGGAGGGACGGAGGGGGCCCACAGTGAGCCCCGCTGTCCCCGCTGTCACCCCCTCTGTCCCCATCCACCGGGTGTTTGGGTTCCGTTCGGAGGCAGGAGGACGGAGGAGGCCCAGCCTCCAACCACCCGAAAAATCTTGGAGGCCGTCCCCGCCCGGGATTAGAGGCGTGTTGGGAGGTGGGGAATCAGGAAACAAAGGGGAGAACCGGGCCCGGGGCCCATGGCCCATCCCGGCGCTCGGGGAGGAGGCCGAGGAGGGAGGATCGCTCTGGAGGCCGGGAGCTGGAGGCCGTCTCTACTTAAAAATAAAAAAAAAATAATAACAGAAAGAAATTAACCGGCACACAAAAATATACACAGAAAAAAACAAACAAACAAACAAAAAAAAAAAACGAGCCGGGCGTGGTGGCGCGTGCCTGGAGTCCCCAGTCTCTACTCGGGAGGGAGGCTGAGGCGGGAGGCTCGCTCGAGCCCCGGAGGCCGGAGGAGGCTGCTTGTGAGCGAGGCTGCCTCCGGTCCGGGAGACAGAGGGAGACTCTGCCTCAAAAAATAAAAATAAAATAAAAATAAAAATAAAGAACTCTCCCAGGGGACCACGCGGTCCACACGGCCTAAACTACTCACTTTCTGATCCTTTACCCAAAAAAATAAAAAAAAAATTAATAATAATAATAATAATAATAATTGTATCCCGGCGCCTCACAGGGATCAATAAGTGAATAAATGCAGATCCCCACGGGGCCGTCACTTTACCAGAAGCGACCGGGAAACGCCGGTCCTTTCCCGCCAAACCAGCCCCTTGGGCGGGACGTGTGCGCATCTGCCCCGTCAGAGCCCGACCCCCGGAAACGCGCCCTTAGCAACCGGCTTGGTTACGGCAGCTGCAAGGCCTGCAGGGCGACCCCTGTGCGTTTGTCATTCCCCGGGGGGTCGGGGGGCGGGACTTCCCGTCTCCCGAGAGCTCCCTGGGGGGGGCCGGATGGGAGAGGTCTGTTCTAGAAGGTTCTAGAAGTTTCTAGGAGGTTCTAGAGGGGGAACGGGATCCGTGAGAATCCACAGCTGGGCTTTTTTCAGAGCCGGGAAGGACATTCCAGCAAGTAGACGTCATCCCTCCGCCGGAATGTCCAGAGACCGGTGACTTCTAGAGGGTTCTAGAAGGTTCTAGAAGTTTCTAAAGGGGAAACGAGAGCCGCGAGACGCCGCTGCTGGGCTTTTTTCCAGAGGAAGGATGTTCCAGCAAGTAGACGTCATCCCTCTGCCGGAATCCCCAGAGACCGGTCAGTTCTAGAGGGTTCTAGAAGGTTCTAGAAGGTTCTAGGAGGTTCTAAAGGGGAAACGATAGCCGCGAAATGCCGCTGCTGGGCTTTTTTCCAGAGGAATGATGTTCCAGTAAATAGACGTCATCCCTCTGCCAGAATCCCCAGAGACTGGTCAGTTCTGGAGGGTTCTAGAAGGTTCTAGAAGTTTCTAAAGGGGAAACGAGAGCCGTGAGATGCCGCTGCTGGGCTTTTTTCCAGAGGAAGGATGTTCCAGTAAGTAGACGTCATCCCTCTGCCAGAATCCCCAGAGACCGGTCAGTTCTAGAGGGTTCTAGAAGGTTCTAGAAGTTTCTAAAGGGGAAACGAGAGCCGCAAGACGCCGCTGCTGGGCTTTTTTTTCAGAGGAAGGATGTTCCAGTAAATAGACGTCATCCCTCTGCCAGAATCCTCAGAGACCGGTCAGTTCTAGAGGGTTCTAGAGGGTTCTAGAAGTTTCTAGGAGGTTCTAAAGGGGAAACGATAGCCGCGAAATGCCGCTGCTGGGCTTTTTTCCAGAGGAAGGATGTTCCAGAAAGTAGACGTCATCCCTCCGCCAGAATCCACAGAGACCGGTCAGTTCTGGAGGGTTCTAGAAGGTTCTAAAGGGGAAACAATAGCCGCGAGACGCTGCTGCTGGGCTTTTTTCCAGAGGAAGGATGTTCCAGTAAATAGACGTCATCCCTCTGCCAGAATCCCCAGAGACCGGTCAGTTCTGGAGGGTTCTAGAAGGTTCCAGAAGTTTCTAAAGGGGAAACGAGAGCCGCGAGATGCCGCCGCTGGGCTTTTTTCCAGAGGAAGGATGTTCCAGCAAGTAGACGTCATCCCTCTGCCAGAATCCCCAGAGACCGGTCAGTTCTGGAGGGTTCTAGAAGGTTCTAGAAGTTTCTAGGAGGTTCTAAAGGGGAAACGAGAGCCGCGAGTCGCCGCCGCCGGGCTTTTTTCAGAGCGGGGAAGGACGTTCCAGCAAGTAGACGTCATCCATCCGCCGGAACCCACGGGGACCGGGTCGCGAGAGATAAATGACGCTTGTCTGGTTTTGGGGGGCTGGAGATGGGGGAAGCGCGGGGGTGCAGGGGGGGACCTACTTGCCAGGGGGAGCCCGAGCCCCTGCGAGCACCTGCCGCAGAGGACGGACCCGCAGAGCCGGCAGTGGTGGCGCCGCTGGCGGACGCTGAACTTGCTCCCGCAGTCCGGGCAGAACGGGACGTCCTGGTCGGGGACCCAGGGCACCACGCGCCTCTCCAGGGCTTCGGGGGAGGGGACAGGGCGGGCGACAGACACATACGTGTGCGTGTGAGAGAAGAGGAAGAAAACATACGCATAAAAGAACAATATATATGTGTGCAAAAGAAAAGAAAGAGATGTATAAAAGAAAAGGAAAAAAATATAGACGTAAAAGAAAAAACATATATGTATATAAAAGAAAAGAAAAAAAAATATATATATATATAGAAGAAAAAATATGTATAAAAAAGAAAAGAAATATATATATAAAAGAAAAGGAAAAAAGTATGTAAAAAAGAAAAGAAAAAATATATATATTCATTTTCACTGTAGTTAGCTAAAAAAAAAAAAAGAAAAAATATGTATAAAAGAAAAAATATATGTATATATAAAAGAAAAAATATATATAAAAAGGAAAGAAATATATATAAAAGAAAAGAAAAAATGTATGTAAAAAAGAAAAGAAAAAAATATGTATAAAAGAAAAAAATATATATAAGAAAAAAATACATATATAAAAGAAAAGAAAAAAATATATATAAAAGACAAATATATATAAAAGAAAAGAAAAATATATAATATGTGTAGAAGAAAAACATATATAAAAGAAAAATATAAATGTAACAAAAAGAAAAAATATATATAAAAAATATATACATAAAAAAGAAAAAATACACATATAAAAGATATATATAAAAGAAAAATATATGTATAAAAGAAGAGAAAAAATATATATAAAACAAAAATATATGTGTAAAAGAAAAATATATATATAAAACAAAAATATATGTATAAAAAAAAAGAAAAAATATATATAAAATAAAGATATACATATAAAATATATAAATAAATATATGTGTATATACATATATATTTATATTTTTTCCCATTTGGGAAAAATAATAAAGTAAAACCTGTATTATTATTATTTTTATTTTAGGGGGGGGGAAGAGTCTCGCTCTGTCGCCCGGGCCGGAGTGAGCGCCGTGGCGTCAGCCTCGCTCACAGCAGCCTCCAACTCCTGGCCTCGAGCGAGCCTCCTGCCTCGGCCTCCCTCCCGAGTAGCTGGGACGACAGGCATGCGCCTCCACGCCCGGCTCGTTTTTTCTATATATTTTTAGTTGTCCAGCTCATTTCTTTTATTTTTAGTACAGACGGGCTATCACTCTTGCTCAGGCTGGCCTTGAATCCTGATGTTGGGCGATCCTCCCACCTTGGCCTCCCAGAGTGCTGGGATGACAGGAGTGAGCCACCTCGCCGGGCCCACGTTTCTTTTTTTATTTCAGCATAATATGGGTGTTATACTCTAGGAGGCCGAGGCGGGAGGATCGCTCGAGGACGGGAGTTCGAGGCCAGGCTGAGCAAGAGCGAGACCCCGTCTCTACTTAAAAACCACAAAGAGGCCGGGCGCGGTGGCTCACGCCTGTAATCCTAGCTCTTGGGAGGCCGAGGCGGGCGGATTGCTCAAGGTCAGGAGTTCAAAACCAGCCTGAGCAAGAGCAAGACCCCGTCTCTACTATAAATAGAAAGAAATTAATTGGCCAACTGATATATATATAAAATGAGCCGGGTATGGTGGCGCATGCCTGGAGTCCCAGCTACTCGGGAGGCTGAGGCAGGAGGATCGCTTGAGCCCAGGAGTTGGAGGCCGCTGTGAGCTAGGCTGACGCCACGGCACTCACTCTAGCCCGGGCAACAAAGTGAGACTCTGTCTCAAAAAAAAAAAAAAAAAAAAAAAAAAAAAA